CCCAAGCGATGGTTCGCTGCCTTCCCAGCCTCCGCACACAATGTGCAGTGGGGGGCAGCGTTACATTCCGCGGCGCGGTGTCCCATCTGGCCGCACCGGTAGCACTGAAGCCCCCTGTCGACCAACGCGGTACACCGCGCCTTGACGTGGCCAGAGTGAAGGCACTTGAAGCATCGCAGCTCCCTGCGTTCAAGGAGCTTCACCCTGGCCGAAACCCAGCCCACCAGCAGCTTCCCCTCCACTACTTTCTTAGCAGCTCCTACGGGGCATGCTACCCAGACGGCAAAGAGACCGGACCTCTCCTGGCGGAGCGATCCCACCTTTACGTGGTCCGCTGCGCAGCCGCCTTTGGCACAGACCGCTGCTGTCACCTCTTCTTTCGTGACGGAGTCATCCAGCCCCGCCACAAGCAGTTCCGCCGTTTTGGTTGGTCGGGAGACGGTGACATCGCCACCGTTCCCGAACACCTCTCGGAGCCTTTCGGCAAGGAGGTCCGCCTTCGGCGCGCTATCGGCACCGGGGACCTCAATGATTGAGGCCCCAGTCGCTGCGCGCTTGAAGCGGACGCTCTCGATCTCGAGGTCCTTGAGATTCACCTTCTGTCTCGCCTCGGCCAGAGCTTTAGCATACGTGACCCCCTTCTCCACAGCCGTGGGATGTAAAGTCACCACGACTGCCGAGGTCTTGGGGGCCCGCAGCTTGGGTGAAGGCTTGGCCTTCTCCTGCTCTTTCTTCTTGGGCGTGGGCGCCGATCTGATGACCGTCGGCGCCTTTTCCCTTAGGCCCCTCTTCACGACCGACGCCATGGACTCCTTCATGGATGCTGGCGCCGGCGGGAGGGGACGTTCCGTCTCCTGTTTTTTGGCCGTCTTCTTCTTCTTCTTCACGGACTTTTTCTTAGCCTTTTGGCCCGATTGAGCGGCTAGGGCCGTGGTAGAAGGAGAAGAAGCGGCCGGCGTCGATGAAGAGGTCGACGCCTTCGTCTTTCCCTTTGCGCCGACCTTGATCCAGCCCGATTGGGCCGGTTCAGGAAGTCGCACTTCAGGCAGTTCCGCCTGGGTCGTAGCCGGTGTTTGGCGTGGACGGCTTGCCGGGGGTTTCCGCCTGGCTTCCGCTTCACGCCTGTCGTGTGCCAGTGCCGGTCGTAAGCGAGGCTCTGGATTCAGACGCGGCTCTAGCCCGTCTATGCGGGCGTTAAGCCGGTCCGAGAGCCTGCTCAGGATCCGGTTCTCCATGTCTTCGTCCGTGGATTGTGGGCATGTCGCAGCGACAGGCTTGGGCGTCGCCCCCGCCTGCAGCATGCACGCCTTAAGCTCCGCCACCTCCTTCTTTAGTGCGGCCATCTCCGCCTGAAGGCGGGTGTTGGCCGCTCGCAGAATCCTCGTCTCGTCATTTATATTGCGCGTCGTCAGGAGCTTTGACGCCGCCCGAATCTGCGCTACCGCCTCCTTAAGAGCCTTCTTGGCTGTCCCTTTTAAGTTGTTTGACTTGGCGCAGACAGCCGCCACGGCCGCTGCGCCAAGCTCTATCTGACCGCCGAGTTCTGTCGAGCCTAGCTCATCGTCCTCCGAGGCGTAGGTGTCCGCAAGTCGGGCCCCCGCCTTGGTCGACCGCAGCTCCGACGTCATCTCGGCTAAATCGTTCTCCGCCTCCCATTCACGTTGGCGTCGGGTAGCCTCCGCCAACTCCCGCTTCGCCAGGTCGAATCCTGTGTATCCGCCGGGTGTCAGCGGCCGTCCTCGGCCTTTTCTTGTCCCTGCCAACTTGGGCGAGGGCCCCGTCTCTGCATCGCCTGGTGCGACGGCTTGGTCTCGAAGCCGTTTCCGACCGAGGCTCCCCCAGGTGTACCCTGGGTGCCGGTCTTCACGGTCCTCCGATGGCTCAACCTCCATATCCATTAGCGACACGTCAGAATCCGACGTGTCGCTGAATGTCGGGAGGCACTGCTGCGAGGCGTTCGATACCACAATCGGGAC